TCAAATAGGTAGTAAAAGCATGTAATAAATCATATACTATTACATATTTAATTGTAATAGTAGGAAAACTTATCTCTTTTCTAAGCTCTCTGTGAAAATTAGAAACCCTTCCGTGTAGACAGAACAATAGCTTCGATTCATAGAAAACTGCAATAAAATCAACAAATATCAAAGTCAGGCACACAATAGCTCGAAGTCAGACAAAATTACCAAACCATTAATTTGCATGTTTAGATCGAAAGTTAAAAATTCAAATTAGAAATTTTCAGTTTTAGATTTGATAACAAATTACCTATGCAAAACTCGAAAACTCTAAATTTGGAGTTTTAGATCTTCGAATAATTAACATCAGTTCACCCAAAAAAATCGAAAGAAAGAATAAATCCTAAATTCAAGCTTATAATTCAATTTTATAGCTGTGGATCGAAGAAAAGAAGAAACAGAATTAGTAACTTACAAATATAGGTGTGAGACTTCATCTTTGCTTTTCGCTTCTGCAAAATCTCCCAGGAAATGCGAACTCCGACTAGGGTTTCCAAATCGGTATTCGAACAATAGTAAAAATTGACTCAATTAGAGATGATGTAGGTAGATTACATAGGAATGACAACTGATTAGGTTCAGACAGAGCATGATCTGGAAAACCGGTAGAGAAATAGAACGAATTCGAGAGAAATGGGTGCAGAAGCGAAAAGCGTGATCAATGCGAATGAAATGAGAATACTCATCCTCAAAAATCATATGCAGACTTGATTCCAGCAAATAAGGTCAACAAAAACCCAATACTGCTTCTGTTTGTTTCCTAAAACTAGGCTTACTTAAGGGACTAATATTTATAATATTTATAATATTATAAAACTGATTTAAATTATTAGTATAGGATTATCTATATTATATATAAACTGTCCTATTCCACTTTACATTAATCAAATACTTTGGGTTTGTATAAATATAGAGATAGAGATTTATTATATGGTTGGAATTTAAAGTTTTATAATTATTTCACATGTTTAGTAGTGGTTATTTACAAAAGGTTTAATATATTAGAACACTATATTATAATCTATGAAGGATCGGTTTAAACATTCATGTCCTAATATGCAGAGAACGAACATTTTACATCCAATGAAGGTTCGCAATCATCGTTAACAAATCAAGTTCCACAACCTTCTAATAGTACACAAATATTCGGTGTCTTTCAGAATAGACTTGGTACACCTTTGAGTGTTGTTACAAATGGTGAGCAAGTCTTGAGCTTTTTGGATTCAATTAATAAATGCTACCAGGGTATTGTTTTAGTCCATTTGTTCTGAATTAATATAATATAACTAATTATATTGTTTTATTTTGCCTACCAGGGTCTACCACTACAAGAACATTAATGTCTAACACCATGGGTCAAACAAGCAATTACAGACAACCTTTAAGCAATATTTCAAATTGTTAGTATTGTAATATTAATATAAACAATTGTCCTAACACTGAATCCGCAATTCTTCATTATTTATACTATAATAACTATATTTAATTGATGACAACTCTTATAGCTTATCGCGAAGAAGTTATTGATTTAATGGATAATTCACCGCCGAAGAAGTGTCCTCTTCATACATTTGACTTGAATTTGACGCCAAGTAAAAGCGATGATGCAATTGGTAAACAAATCGTCAACTACAAATCTAAATTATTATATTATGTTTATAACATTACTATAACGTATGCTAATATTTATGTTTATGATGGTAATAGTTTTCGAGACGAATGGTTGTATTACAACAGATGGTAACAAAGGAACGCCAAAACAAAGTTTTGTACACCCAGTTCAACACGTTAGGAACCTAATTTCATAATTCGAAGAGGTTGTTGAACCTATACAGCTGCAAGCCGTTGCAATTAATGGTCCGTCAAGTCACTTCATTCCCAAACAATAATATTGATAAAATGTACTCTATATATGCTCAGTTATTGGATTTCTTTTATTTATTTAAATTTCTTTGTTACAGTTGAATACCTAGATTTTGGAAACCCAGAATTCGTGTGCGAGTACTGTAGTGCTATTTTTTGGTCAAATGAACGCTCAGCACAGTCAAAACCAAATGCAAAGCCAAAGTACTCAAGTTGCTGTGTCCATGGAAAAATAGTGCTACCGTTGATGATAAAGCCACCTAATAAGTTACATGAATTGTTCTTTGTATCAAGCGAGAAAAACAAATGTTTCTTGCAAAATATAAGATCCTATAATAACACGTTTTGTTTCACATTTATGGGTGGTAAAGTGGATAGATCAATTAATAATGGTGCTGCACCATAATAATGGTGCTGCACCACCAATATTCCGTATAAATGGCCAGAAATTCCATCGCATTGGAAGTCTTTTACCTACTGCGGGAGTCCAACCAAAGTTTGCGCAACTTTATATTCACGACACACAAAATGAAATAGAAAATCGTATCAAGTGTGTTAGGTATAAGAACTTCTAACAATTAACATTTCTTTTTTCAGAATACATACAATTGTAAATTTCTCTAACAATAATTCTAATTGTTTATATTTCACTTTTTATAGGACCGATATTGATCAAGTGGATCTACATCGAGAAGTTGTATCTGACATTAAAGAGGTTTTAGATCACAATAATGTGTTCGTCAAATCATTCCGTATGGCTAAGAACTTTCTTGATTGTAATGACACATCTGAGATTAAAATGAGGCTGATAGGCAGGAGGGCTACAGATGCATGTACTTATTCATTACCAACAGCGTCTGAGGTTGCAGCTCTAATAGTAGGAGACTTAGAGCCATCAATGGGTGAACGGGACATTTTAGTGGAGTGTAAAACTGGAGGATTGAAAAGAATTAGTGAATTAAACCCAGCCTATTTTCCATTGCAATATCCAATTTTTTTCCCTTATAGTGAGGATGGATTTAGGGAGGACATTCTATTTTCAACAACAATTACTAATCATAATTGGTCAAGAAAAAGTGTCTCTCAAAGGGAGTATTTTTCTTTCCGTGTTCATGAAAGGTTAACTGAGATATCAACTCTACTATATGCTAGGAGGTTATTTCAACAATTCTTAGTCGATGCGTATACAATAGTTGAATCTTCACGGTTGTGTTATATAAGGTCAAATCAAAAAGCTTTGAGATATGAGGCATACAAAGGCCTCTCAGATGCCTTGACACGAGGTGAGGTTGAGCCCAGCACTCAAGGCAAAAGAATCATATTACCATCAAGTTTTACCGGCAGTGCAAGATACATGATACAAAACTATCAAGATGCTATGGCGATTTGTCGGTTTATAGGTTATCCAAACCTATTTATTACATTCACATGCAATCCAAAATGACCTGAGATAAGACTGTTTTTGGACAAAAAGGAACTTGAAGGTAGAAGATAGGGCTGACATAGTTTGTCGTGTGTTCAAGATGAAATTGAATTCAATGATCAAAGAGATTAAGAAAGGGAAATTATTTGGTCACGTTAAAGCTGGTATAAATTATTGTACATTCTAATATTTTTTTTTTAGTGTGCTATAATACAATCAAGCAAAATTCACTTATTATAGCTCTTTGTTTGCAGTTATTTACACAATCGAATTTCAAAAAAGGGGTTTACCACATGCACACATATTGTTATTCCTTCAAAAGCATGATGGTTTCTCTAGCCCAACATTCATGGATTCGATCATTTCAGCTGAGATTCCGGATAAGGGTACTGACTTGGTATATTATACAGCTGTTGAGGAATTCATGGTTCATGGACCATGCGGACACGCTAAAAGCAATTCACCGTGTATGGTAAATGATAAGTGCTCTAAACATTTCCCCAAGAGATTCATTGATTCATCTCAGTTTGATCAAGATGGGTACCCGTTGTACCGTAGGCGAAATGATAATAGAATGGTAAAAAATAGTGGAATAGAGCTGGATAACAGGTATATTGTTCCTCATAATCGATACCTACTATTGAAGTACAAAGCCCACATTAATGTTGAATGGTGAAACCAATCACGGTCAATCAAGTATTTGTTCAAGTACGTCAACAATGGTAATGACTGGGTTACAGCTGAGTTTTATAAGACCACGACTGATGATATCGGTAATGAAGTTGTAGATGAAATCAACATGTACTACGATTGCCAATACATTTAAGCTTGTGAGGCAATGTGGCGCTTCCTTAGTTTTGAGGTACAATATCGCACACCACCTGTTGAGAGGCTAAGCTTTCACTTACCAGATTGCCAATCGGTTGTTTTTCAAGACGATGATAACATTGATCACGTTTTAAATAGGGAATCAGTTGTGCAAAGTATGTTCAATGGATGGTTTGTAGCAAACCAAAAGTACCCACAAGCTAGACAGTTAAGTTACATAGAGATACCTACAAAATTTGTTTGGAAAAAGGACATTCGTGAATGGCATCCAAGAAAGAAGGTTTTCGCCATCGGTCGAATATTCTATGTTCCACCAGCATCTGGTGAGTTATATTATTTGAGGTGCTTACTGAACATAGTACGTGGCCCCGAAACTTTTAAAGATATTAGGACACATAATGGAGTTGAGTATGGTACATTTAGGGATGCATGTTATGCTTAAGGCATGTTGGATGACGATAAAGAGTACATTGATGCTATAGTAGAAGCAAGCTTTTGGTCAACTGCTCATTCAATAAGGAAGTTGTTTGTAGTGCTTTTGACATCGAGTTCCATCATTAGGCCAGAATATGTTTGGAATGAGGTGTGGAAACATTTGTGTGAGGATGCTCAACATGTTCAGAGAAGAATTCTACAACCAGGTATGAACTATTATCATTATACACTTATCCAATTACTGTAAATAATATTCTTTATTAAAGTGTGCTTTTTTTTCATATTTTATTACAACAGATTTGTTTTTAACTGACGAAGAAAAGAAGAACTTTGGACTAATTGAGTTGGAGAAATTGTTGGAACAACAGAATAGATCTTAAAGGATTACCACCCGATGCCGATCCCATAAATGGTTAACTCTACATTGGTACGTAATCGATTGCTGTTTGAAAAATTATCATATGATCGTGAGTTTTTAAAACAAGAGGCTCAAGAGTTGTGTGGTAAGTTGACGGAAGAGCAAAGATCGATCTACAATATTGTGCTAGATGACGTTTCCAGTAACCTGGGTGGTTTGTTTTTTGTTTATGGTTACGGTGGTACTAGGAAAACATTCATGTGGCGAGCATTATCATCTACATTGCGGTCAAAGGGCCAGGTTGTTTTGAATGTTGCATCAAGTGGTATAGCTTCATTATTGTTGCCTGGTGGACGAACTGCACACTCAAGGTTCGCAATACCAATAGCAATAAACGAAGACTCGACATGTAACATTAAACAAGGAAGTTAGTTAGCTGATTTATTGATACAAACAAGTTTAATAATTTGGGATGAAGCACCGATGATGCACAAGTATTGTTTTGAAGCACTACACCGGACCATGAGGAATTTGTTGCGTTTTGTAGACCCGAACAGTTCTAACAAGACTTTTGGTGGTAAAACAGTCGTACTCGGTGGTGATTTCATTCAAATCCTACCCGTAGTCCCTAAAGGTAATAGGCAAGACATAGTAGGTGCTACTATCAAATCTTCGTATTTATGAGACAGTTGCAGGGTAATGAAGCTCACACAGAATTTGCGACTAAGCAATGTCGAAAACCCCGACGAACGCCATATCGCCAAACAGTTTGCAGATTGGATTGCTACAATAGGCGATGGCAAGATTGGTGGCCATATTGATGGTTATGCTGAAGTAGAAATACCTAGGGATATGTTACTACCTTCCAATGGTGACCATATTGAAACCATTGTTCGGAGTAGATTTCCGATGTTTGCACATGGTAATTCTAATGCGAGTTATCTTCAAGACCGTGCTATTCTGGCACCTACACTGGATGTAGTTAACTCAGTTAATGAGTATATGAGTGACCTGCATACGGCTGAAAGTAGAACATATTTTAGTTGCGACACAGTATGCAAAGCGGATACAGGTAGTGGAATAATGGGTGATGTCCACACACCTGAGTTTTTGAACGGCATTAGAGCTTCAGGTATCCCAAACCATGCATTGACTATAAAAATTGGGTCCCCAGTAATGTTATTAAGAAATATTGATCACTCAGTTGGATTGTGTAATGGTACGCGGTTGGTAATCACCAAGTTAGCAGACCGTGCAATTGAAGCTGAATTAATAGATGGTACTAACAAAGGTGCAAAAGTGTTGATACCCAGAATGTCAATGTCACCCTCAGACACAAGATTACCATTCAAGTTTCAACGGCGACAATTCCCACTAATGTTAGCATATGCAATGACTATTAACAAAAGTCAAGGTCAAACACTGTCACATGTAGGTTTGCTACTAAAAAAACCGGTTTTTGTGCATGGTCAATTGTACGTTACTGCATCTCGAGTTAACAACCCAAGTGGGCTTAAAATATTGATTGCCAACGACTCAAGGACAACTGCTACATCAACAACCAACGTAGTATACCATGAAATCTTCAATAATTTGTAATTGTCTACTGAATGGTATTTTTGGATATTCTGTGTAAACGTATTGTCATTATTGTTTCTATTTGTTAATTTCGAAATTTTTTTTCACTAATGTAATCAATTATTCACACAATTGGACACTATCTTGAACAATATCCATCCCGTGCATCGCACGGGGACTATACTAGTTAGTATATATATATATATATATATATATATATATATATATATATATATATATATATATATATATATATATATATATATATATAATTATATTCAGATACAAACAGTGCTTAAAATACAAACAGTGTGGATTCATCTAGATCGTTGAATCATGGGTTTGGATGTCCAAGATTTTTTAAAATATTTATGCTAGTTTTTAATCATCCGTTTTTGTGTTTTATTTTAAGCGGGGGTATTTTTGGTTTTTATTAGTTTGTAGTCGTCCAATTGGGGTAGAATTAGAATTAGAAGTCCAACAGGCACGCCTTTCCCGGTCACTCGCTCTCTCTCTCGCGTTCCCTTGTGTCGCTGCCAGTGCGCCTCCCACGGAGTTGATCGCCTCCTTCATTAGCGGCCGGAAGATGGTCGCCACACGGGACTGCGGTGGTGCCAGCGTCGTGGATCACCATTGGATGGCTTAGGTGAGGTATTTGTTTCCCTCTTTTTCTCCTTCTACGTTGTTTTTGCTTGGGTTTAGCCTGGGGTTATCTGGGTTGTTTGTTGCGAGGTGGGGGAGGGGCGCTTATGCATGGGTGTTTCTGGCAGTAGTTGTGTGCAGGGGGGGTGATTTATGGCGGTTCACGGTGGGATTTAAGTTAGGTTTATTTATTTATTTATTATTATTTTTTTTGGACTTGCAGATTTCCACTAGGGTGGTTTATTGGGATTTAACTCCTTTAATTCTTAGAACCAAACATCACGCACATTGGGGAATTTGGGGTATCCGCACGTTGAGGGTTTGCTCTACGTTGTCTGTATCTTCTCAACTTGTGGTGTTCACCGTCCATCGCCGTTCGTTGATCTTCTTCAATCGTCACGCTCTAGGTTTGTAGTTGCGACATAGTACTGGCTGGGGACCACGGTCGAGGGAAGCGGCGGGGACTAGTTGTCGGCTGAGGTAGAGTTTTTTCTCCCTTTTTTTGGTCGTTTTTGTGTTGTTGTTCTCGTTTTTTTTTTCCCGCTTGTGAGACGGTGTTTTGTTTCAATTGGTGGGGTTCCCGGTTGTGTATGGTAATCGTAGGGTGGGTTGGTTGCCGAATTGTTCTGAAAGTTTGGATTTTTGGCAGATTATTGCTTGTCTTCAGTTTTTGTTGTGAGTTAGTTGCTTCTTTATTTAGGAATTTTTGTTCTAGATTTGGTGAGTGCATTTTCAATATAGTGTGCATTGCTATACAGATTATTGCTTGTCTTCAGTATTACGATGTTCCATGCTGTGTTGGGGTTGTTCTGTTTTAATATTGGGTGGGATGTTGTTGATATCTTTTGTTTTATATGATGGTTGTAGCTAAGAGGTCGAATGTATCGCAACGTGAACGTGACTACTGCCTCACAGAGTTGTGTTAGCGAGGATAATTTCGTTTCTCCACCTTTGGCCTTCCTTCAAAGGCTGCAAGATGACCCACTGTGGAATGAATGCCCCTGATTATGAGTTAGAGGCTGTAGGAAGACCCGTGGTGAAATGTCCCTGTAGGAGTTTGATGTTTTTTTAACACTTTGTAATACAGTTTGTGACTATCTCATTGGGAAAATTTTGATGATAATCTTGTGTATAATACGTTTTTTGTTGCCTCACAGTTAGTAAATATATACATACGTGCACATTGGCATTAAAATGTGTGCATGGTCAAACTAAATAAATCTCAACCGTGGATATTAACTAAATCAATTTTACATAAGTGACTATTGGATGATTAGCTTGTAGGCTTAGTTTATAAACAAGTATGTGCACAGTTGCATTAACTGGGTGCATGGATAAAAACTAGATAAATTTCACAAAAGCGACTAGCTCAATATTGTTCTATACGCTTAGTTTTTAAATACATGAGTGCTCATTGGCTTTAATTATGTACACGCACAACTAAATAAATTTCACCCATCGATAAAAATTAAATAAATTTCACTCACGTGAGTAGTTCACTATTAGCTTATAGTCTTAGTAATTACAAACGTGTGTGCACATTGGCGTCAAACAGTGTGCATAGCTCAACTAAATAAATACCAACCATGGATAAAATTCAAAATAGACTAGTTCAATATTATCGTATGCGCTAACTTTTTAAATACATGGGTGTACATTGGCGTTAAATAGTGTGCGTGCACATCTAAATACATTTCAACCATGAGTAAAAACTAAATAAATTTTACAATAGTGAGTACTTCACTATTAGCTTATAGGTTTTGTAATAAAAAACGTGTGCAAAATGTTGATAAACAATGTGCATAGCTCAACAAACTAACTACCGTGTGCACATACACGCTTACAAAAAAGTAAAACAATGCTCCCCTCTATAGTCTTCGGCTCCGTGCTGTTTCTGACATCAAACCCGACCATAGTTGCATATGTTCACATTTTTAAAGTTACAACCTGTTAAAGTGCACATTTTTCACAATATTAATATTAAACCATCTGAAATTACTAATATACTGCAGCACAAAATAAACCAGGCATTGTGCGCACAAGTTTAATCTAGCGTGCACACACTTTTAATCTACTCATACCACCACTTTTCGGCAACCTAATTTCATAAGAACATCCAATGAACAATAAATAAGAAACAGATTCACTCAGAAAACGGATGTTTATCCAAGATTAGGACACCATGAATGAATTTCTAACATTCAACATCAAATGAAACCAACAATGAGTATATGATTCATAACATTCAACGTCAAATGAAACCAACAATAAGTATATGATTCATCACATTACTATTCTACATATCTATCTCTAAGCTCTTGGCATAACAATACAAATTTTTATTTTCATTATACAATTTTTTTTTCATTATGCGCACAGTACTCACAGCATCTAATAGCCACGGTTTTTTTCCCACCATTACAATTCAAAATCATATGCAGTAATTCAATGTGCACTACGGATCTATTGGTGTGCGTTAAGTTCCTACTACGTGAAGTCTATTCTGAAACCTATAGAATGTATCATCTAACTACTTCTATTATAAGTCATTTAAGAAAACAAACAAAGTACATTGTATTTAGTATGCACGGATTTGAATTAATGTCTGTATGCATTTCATTAAAACACGAATATTTGTTCGTGAATGCACACAGTAACCACCATTATGAATCCATCATGTTTTTCGTGTTATATTTATACGTGCACATAGTTCCGTGTGGGTGTGCACACTGCGGTACATGGCGGTATATGTGTGCATAAAAGTGTCTAAGTGTGTGCACGACTAGTTCGTGTGTTACGTTAGTTCGCATTAACCGTGTTTACCCCCATATGTCACCCCAATCGAACACCTTTATTCATTTATCCCCTCATTATTGTGTGGACTATTGTGTGCAACATATTTTATATATTGTAAAATAATGTACATTTAGTTCAAAAATAATGTACATTTTTCGGGGGCTGTACATTATTTTTGTACTGAGTGTACATTATATTGTATAATATATTTTCAGTACAAAAATAATGTACATTCAGTATATTAAAAATGTACTTTTTATTATGGTCCACATAACACTGTGTGGATCATAGTCTACACAATAATTTGCCGCCCCTCATGAACCCCCAACTATTCTGCATCTTCCCTTCCACCATAGACGTTCGTGTGCTTCTTGAAGAATTCTTGCATTCAAATTCATATCTTTCCCTTAATTAAGGCTTGCATTGAAATTAAATCCTTCATTAATTATAATTCCTATGATACTGCGTGATATTCTTTTAATTTCTAATATTATCAAATTTTACATTGTGAATGCATTATCTTAATTACCCTTATTTTAGATTACGCTTCTAATTAGTATATGCTAGTTCTCTAAATCTGAGCCGTCAAAACCCTCTAATCCAATGGTCTCATTTTGTCCACAAATTTATATTTTAAGGGTGTTTGCATGTGAATGTAACCCTATATATATATATATATATATATATATATATATATATATATGTATGTATGTATGTAATAGTTTAGTACATTCTTTTAAATTGGCATATGTTGGTTCATAAAATAAATTAGCTCCTTGTATTTTAGTCATGACTAAATTAGTTTGTAAAAGTAATGGAACTATGTTTGAGGAGTGGAAAGTTCTACACTAATTTCTCTCCACAAACATGAGGTTGTGGTTCCCTGAATGAAGAGCATGAAATGTGGGAAACCATATTCCCTGTATGCATGGGTGTATATGAAGGCAATCGTTATGCTATGGACCTGTGTCCAGCATGCATGCTGGACACGGATAATAACGCCATTAATGGCACTGTTATCTTCAACTTTCTTTTTTTTTTTTTTTTTTTTTAAATTTCAGACCGCTTCGTTATAGGATTATATGTTCATAATTTTATTACTATATGTTCATAATTGTAAGTTTATAATGGCAGGGCTCTATGTTCATAATTCAATAACTGTACATTCATACTTCCATAACTGTACATTCATAATTCCGTAACTGTACATTCATAATTCCGTAACTGTACATTCATAATTCAATAACTGTAACTTCATAATTTTTGAAGCTCTATGTTCATAATTTTAGAGCTCTATGTTCATAATTATATCACTATATGTTCATATTGTAAGTTCATAATGTCAGAGCTCTGTGTTCATAATTCCATAACTGTATATTCATAATTGCATAACTTTACATTCATAATTGCATAACTGTACATTCATAATTCCGTAACTGTACATTCATAATTCAATAACTTTAAAATCATAATTTTCGAAGCTCCATGTTCACAATTTTAGAGCTCTATGTTCATAATTGTAAGTTCATAATGTCAGAGTTCTGTGTTTATAATTTTATAACTTACATTCATAATGTCATAACTGTACATTCATAATGACATAACTGTACATTCATAATCCCATAACTGTACATTCATAATGACACAAACAAATAACGCCGTTAACGGCGAGACAAAATCAATTTTTTTTAACTAGAATGACGCGTTTTTCTTAAAAACGACGTCGTTTTGGACTCATTATGGACACGAGTCCAGGGCATAATTTGCCATATGAAGGGCATAAAATTTGGAAATAAATGCTTAATTTTTAGGTGTCCTAATAGCGCTATAAATAGGGGAAATTGTAAGAAAATTGAAAGTTTTCAAAAAGGAAAGACAATAATATTTGGAAGATGCGTTAAAGGAAACTTCCAAATAAGGAAAGATTAAGCTGGTGTACTATTTGGAGAAGTCAACTTCACTTTATATTAGTACAAGTTGTATTAAAATTTAAGTTGGTTAAAATTTGTTTAATTGGTAGAATTAGTTCAAACTGTATTTGTAAACTTTTTCATAGAGTTGTGTTATGAGGTTAATGTTTAAATAAGTGGTAGACCTACTTTTGTAATTCATTGAACCTTGTAATTGTAAAACCGCGGATTGATCTTGAGTGAAAAAGTTTTTGGGCGTGGCGTCGCAGATTAGGAGGTGTTTTCCAACTGCGTTATCAAATTCAGCTGTGTAATTATTTAGGTGCTTTATTTATTGCTTTATATTGTGTTTCATATCTGCATTGCATAATTTCATTAAATATTATAATTATAATTTTAAGTCAATTCTAGTAATGTTAATAGTACATTTATAATTAATTAGTATTAATGAATTTTTTGTGTTTAAGTCTTAATTATGTTACTAGCATTTGTTTAAAATTATAATTATAATATTTACAAATGGTGTATATTATTTGTATTTAAGTCTTAATTATGTTACTAGCTAGCATTAGCTTAAAATTATATTATAATATATGCAAATGGTATATGTTATTTTTTATATTTATTCTTTTTTCACTACTGGAAATTATGGAATTTCCGACCACATGAAAGTGATCTTAAATCAAGTTAATACCAAAAAGTGGTCGGAAATAGCAACAAAGGTTTTTCCGGATACCAAAAGTGGTCGGAACAAGGCTTTCGACTTGATTTAAGATCACTTTTAGGTGGTCGGAAATTTCATAATTTCCAGTAGTGTTTGAATACAAATATTTATTCTGATTCTATATATAAGTAATAATTTGTTAGAGTAGAAAAATAAATGAAATACTTATTTTTAAGGCTAAAAGTATTCATTAAATATAAAAAAGGGAAAAAGTTGTCACTTTTAAAATAATTGAGGGAGCTAATGTGAATAAATGAATAATTCAGGACAAAAAATGCTATATGCATATAATTCAAGGGAGAAAATTTTCATTTTCCTAATTTTATTCTCATTTTTTCACAAAATATTCAAAATAAAAAAATCCTTCAGAAAATAATTCGATAATATAGTTAATCCAAGGTGTTTGAATCACACTTTCTTTAAAATTGATTCACTTCATGCTAGGAGTCTTGGAGTATATCAACTTCTCAAAATGCAATAGATTACAACTACATATTCAACCACTCTGAACTTGAACTAAAGGAAACATGAAAATATTTAGTAGAGTGGCATAATGGTAGAGTGTCCTTGGAGTT